TTATATAAATATATATTTGTTTGTTGTTTTTTTGTCTGTGTCTCTCTCTCTCTCTCTCTCTCTCTCTCTCTCTCTCTCTCTCTCTCTCTCTCTCTCTCTGTGTGTGTGTGTAGGTCAGAGAACAAAATACAGGAGTCAGTTCTCACCTTACATTATTTGGGTTCTGGGGGATCAAACTCAGGTCTTCAGACTTGGCAGCTAGTGCCTGAGCCATCTCAGTGGCCTCTCTAGATTTTCTTAAAAAAATTATTTCCTCATTTAAATTTTGTCCAATTGTGTAAATATTATGTCATAGTCCTACTGGTAGATAAAACTTAGTTTATTCTTTTAAACTTTGAAAGCTTAGTGAAAATTTATTACATACGTCTCACAGCACTAAGAGTGTTCAGAAGGGTCTCTCAAGTGTAAGAACTAGCATTCAGATTCCTAGCACCCATGCAAATGCCAGGCAGTCCTAGTGACCTGTTTATGATCCCAACACTCAAGAGACAGAGACAGGGATCCCTGGGGACCCTGACTCAATATGTATGCTGGAGAATGATGGAAAAAGACATCTGGTGTCAACCTCTGGCATTCATACATATGTGTACACACAGGCCTGTGCCCCACACATATGTGCTCACACACATGCAAGCATGTACACATGCCACATATACATACATTCAGAAAAATGAAAGAATCATAAAAACATACTATAAGAGAAATATTTTATTCTTTTTCTGGAATCTTTTGCATTATAGTGAAAATGTAAACATTACTAACTTAAAACCTTTTAAATACCACAATAAAAGCATAAATTAGGCTTCCTTATCTATTAATTAAAATTTAGATTCTACAAAAAAAATATTTGGCATATAATACTATGGCAAAGATACATTAAGAACTTACGAATTTGTATTTGAAAGTATATTTGTTAGGCAAAAACTATAGAATTTGTAATATTTGTGAAATATTTCTTATTTGAATTTTCCTTTGTTATGTGATTCTTTAACATAAAATATGATTATACCATTGATGGAATCCTACAGATGGCTATCTTTAATTTTGATATTATTTCTCAGTGCTGGAGATGATAGCCAGAGCTGGCCATGTGCTAGGCAAATGCTCTACTACTGCAGCTATTTAGACAGCTTTTATATTTAATCTTGGTAATGGGATATACCCTGTATGACTGGATTTTATGTTTTTAGCAGCCATAGCCTACGTGAAGGTTAATTTATTATGTACCTTCAAAAAGCTGTACTAATGCCTGTATTTAAGAAACATTTTAGACATAATCACTAGATTATGTAGCTATTGACTTTGTAAGGTATTTATAAGCATTTTATCAATTTAAAATTATTGAAAAAATTTTTAATCCTGCAAAATAATTATGTGACCTAAAAACATCTTTGTCTCATTCATATTAGGCAAAGCTCTGTCCTCTCTCTCTCTTTGCTACTCTCACTTTGATCTCTGGGCCCCTTTTCATTAACATGAGAACATAAAACCAATTAGTAGGGCAAATAAACTCCTATTCCTCTAAAAACAGTTCCATAAAAAGCAATGCAAATGAATTAGAAACAAGAAATAGGCCTTGCACATTTTGCTTTAAAGTTGCTGCTTCGTTTTCATTGAAGCCCCATGCATAAAGATGACAAATATTTTAAAGACTATTTTATGTGCATTTTCAGACTTCACCCTTTGCTCTCAGTATCTTTCTTTTAATGATCAGTTTTCTTTTCTTTTCATTCATTGAAATCACAGACATTCCATACTAGAAACTAAACTATGGATCTGTAATAATTCTAAATGTTAATATTTTTATTATTCTTTTTTCTATTTTGTCATTTATAAATTGTAAAGTAGATAACTTAAACTGAAGAAGTTATTAGACCAAGTGTAAAATGTGAAGAACATAGTGCAATTAGAATAAAGAGAATGTTAGAGTCATATTATGCTCTAAGAATCTATTTCTTTTGAAATGGCCATATGTTGAATATTAATGGAAATGTATAAAATCAATCTATCATAAATATTAAATTTGTGACCTTCTAATTTAATGTGATGAAAATGTGTTTGTTAATTGAACACATGTACTTTTCTAAGTTTTAATATTGCTGATACCAAAACACTTCCTTTTAAAAATATTTATTAGAAAGATGAAGATATTCGACTCACTAATAGCAAATTAAAATTCCTCACAAACAAGGAAAAACTTGAGGTACTTAACTGTGTGCATTGTTTAACCTATATTTGTTGACAGACTACTATCTATAAAGCACTGTTCTAGACAATGAGTGATAATATTCTCCCAATTTTGATTGATCTTATCTACTTGCTCACAGGTTGACCTGCATTTTATGAAAAAGATTCCTCCAGGTGCTGAGGCTTCAAACATCCTGGTGGGAGAATTGGAGTTCTTAGACAGAACTGTAGTTGCCTTTGTCAGGTTGTCTCCAGCTGTCTTACTCCAAGGACTGGCTGAAGTTCCAATCCCAAGCAGGTAAAAACTACCCAAGCTTTTTTATGTTTGTGGAGTCATTTAGTATAAGAAATTGCAAAGTTTAAATATAATTTTCTCTTAGATGTTTGACTAGAAACTAATGTGCCATTCATAAACCTACCATTTCTTCTTTATAAAAGTAGAAGAGTGCTTTAGAAATTATTCTATTTCTTCCTACTCCTTCTTAAACTTCATATTTCATTTTAGGCATACTACTCATCTTCAGATTCCTAGTCTATATAACTTTACATTTTTTGTACAAGAAGTGATTAGTAGCCTTTTCTCCAAGATTACATTAAATTGTATGTTTAAGAAAGAGCATCTTGTATGTGTGTCATTAAACTTAAGAGGATCAGTGTTTCCAAGACTTGGCTTCGTTTGAATGACAGACCTTCAAAGTGTATGGAAATTCCCTACGTAGAGTCACCCTTGCCATGTCAAGTGTTTCATGCTTTAGCCTGGGTATAGCTGGCCTGTCATTCCTGGGGTTTGAAAAATCATTGGTAGTCATATATTGAAACCGTGGTTATATCTGGATCAAAAGAGTAAGTTTACTATATGACAGAATACCTGAAGTCCTGTAGGTTGGCTGTGAAGGGCATGAAAATAGGGGAAGGCGTCAAATGTGATTAATATGTAGTCTATGAAATACAGAAAACTTCAGTAAAACCATAGATTAAAATACAAACTTTCTCTGACACATGTACAATGGAACCTCTATGCTTAAGGCTCATGGAGCATAGTGACACAGGGGTAGAGAGGAATACTAATGCAGCCTTCAGCTATCGTAAATGAAGCTCTCATGCAACAGAGGGCCATGAACACAAAGGGCTACAAATGGCCAAAGCACAGAGAATAAGTCTGCAGACTGTGGGTCTTTGGACTAGACAGAAGTAATACACTCCATCCTTCCATGCTTCAGGGACCATTTAAGAAAAGGAGACAGAAAGACTGTAAGATCTAGGGGAGTTGTTATGACCATATGGAAACAGTCTTACAGGCTCCTGGGATCTTGCTCATATAAATCTACAGCAATGGTGTCAGCGTGCAAAAGACCCATGTAAACTCAAGTAGTAAAAAACTGGGTAAATGGGCAGCAGGCACCAACATTAACCAAAGAGTTTTGGCAGCTGATTTTTGCTGGGTGAGAGAGAGCTGATCTTCTTTTAAGGGAAGAACTCTAGATAGTCTGTCTAGACCTCAGTGAATGAACTTTCACTGAGGGATGTCTGGGTACACTAACTTGACACAGTAGGCCTTAACATAAATGACAATGCATGATATCAGGCAGGGGGCAGCTATGGGAGGGTGTGGATGGGGGAGGGGGTATAAAGATAATTAAGTTGTTTTGTATGAAGTACACAAAAATTCAATTAAAAAATGATTTTAAGGCTGGACATGGTGGTACACTCCTGTAGTCCCAGCACTTGGGAGGCAGAGGCAGGCGGATCTCTATGAATTCAAGGCCAGCCTGGTCTACATAGTGAGTTCCAGGACAGCTGGGGCTACAGGGAGACCCTGTTTCAAAGAGATCAAAAAATTGTCTTAAAAAGACCAAATTTAATTTGATTATTAGATATTGTTTTCTATTTGCTATACATTAAAACTGACAGGTAAGGGTAACAGAAACTGAATTAAATTATCATTTATCCATTTTATAGATAAAAGGCCATTCATGTGGAAAAAAAGAAAATAAAATATAGGATATAGATTCTGCTGTGTTAGGTTCCCTCCAGTGTATCTAGAATGTGTTTCCTTCTCTACTGCTACCATCCAACATGATTCCTATGCACACCTGGTTTTATCCAACTACAGCAAAACCTATCTGTTTAGGGCTCCATTTTACACGTTTGATGCCCTGGCTACTCAAGATGTTTAGACTGTATGACCCCTCTTCCAAACAGAGTGCCTCAGTGAAGTTTATAAGCATGAAAATTACAACATGAAATTATAAACATCTAATTACATAATTAAGGTTGAATATTTCTGTATATAAACTACATCCTATTCAGAGTTTCTGGAAATCTAGAATTCATATTTCAGATGTCAGATTTACTAACTGTAGAGATACTGTAGCAGTTTAAAATTCCCTTTCAGTTCTGTGGAAATTAACATTTCATTGTTCAGAAAAGTGTCTTGTGAAATATGAATAAATGAAGGCTGTTTATGATGAAAGTTCCAAATATCAAAGGAAAGAAAAAATATCCCCAGGAGTAGAGAATAGCCATAATGGGGTTATATACCCTCACTTTGAAAAGTGTCAGATTTAAGTGACCTCCTTCATACTGACTCAGCAAAACTATGTGTAGAGAGAATGGAGAAAAAATTGGAGGCACTGTAGAGCCACTGTGTAGGAAAAGCATTAAAAGACTAGGCTATTTATTTAGGAAAAGTGAAAAATAAAGGATATTGGACAAACAGAATAAAGAAAATCATTTGAGAACTCTAATCATACTTTCTTGGGAAGACAAAAGGACTTTCCATGGTGATAAAGCCAACACATACTAGATATGTCAGAAAATAATCTTTTAGACCACTATAAATAGTGCATGCACTAAAAACTTGGAAGATAGAAAGATATAAATAGGTTACAAATTTTCTTAAAAGTATTATAGTTGATAAAGCACCTGCTACCACATTAAACTATTCTTGTTTTTTATATATACTAGGCATACATGTATACATATACATACATAAATATATAGATATGTATAAGAATTTGACTTGGATTCAGTTATAACTGCTATAAAAATTGTGACAATCTCTAACACCTCTAAGATTGTGTAATACATGCTTCATGTAAAAATGTATGAATTCTAAAGGTTTATGGCTAAACAAATATAGAATTACATTAACTAATACATCTTTTAGAGTCACACATCTTCATACTTAGTATAAACCATTAAATAAACTAACAACACAGAATTATACAGCAAAATATATGGTGTTCTTTTAATTTGCACACTTTCCATGAAACACTGACTCTTTCATAGACAGGACAATTACTAGGTCCTTTAAAGTTAACGCACGTATCGATTTCTTTAAAAGTATCAGATGAGATGAGGAATTTGCTTAACTTTCAGATCAATTTATATGGAGCATTATGGTATGTGTACTATTTTTATCTTCTAGCACTGGAATTGGTGACTTGTTAACTTGATGTTTTCATCAACTTAACTGACCTTTAATTCATAGCAATTTTGTATTTAATGAAAAATTTGCATACATTGGGCTTCAGTAAAATCGTCTCTTTATGGTACTGTATCGCTTCTTCCTCTTATGAGTACTCCGTTTTGTCTGTAAGTGAACTTTCTTGCTTCCTATTTAGATTTAGACAGATTTTCTCTCCTATCATTCTTTTCTAAGGGTTTAAAATCCTTAAACTTCCTAGCCACAATTGCATAAGCTGCACAAATAGTTAAATATATAAACACGGATTAAAAATTACCCTGTATTCCTATTGCTTGAGGATTTTACACAGAAAAGTCAGCTGTAAAACATCCCAAAATTATAATGAACTGTGAAAAATTATGAAAATATTTCACATCAGCCAGACATGGTGGCACATGCTTTTCGTCCCAGCACTTGGGAGGCAGAGGCAGACAGAGGGATCTCTGTGAGTTCAAGGCCAGTGTGGTCTACATAGTGAGTTCCAGGTCAGCAGAGGCTACAGAAAGACCCTGTCTCAAAATGACCAAAAAAAAAGGGGGGGGGATAGTTCACAAATTGTAATTAACTCCTTTGAGATGTGTGATTCTGTTCTACTGAAATTCTTGCTATATTTCTGCCTTTAATGTTTTTTTTTTTTTTAATTACAGATTTTTATTCATTCTTCTGGGACCCCTGGGAAAGGGTCAACAGTACCATGAGATTGGAAGATCGATTGCAACCCTAATGACAGATGAGGTATTTATTGAAATTCTTTATGAATATTTTCTCTAAAATGTGTGTCTAACTTAGGAGTCCTTTTTATGACAGTTTTCTGTGAATCATTTTTTTTTTCTGTATTGACTCCCATTTTCCCAAGCTTTCAATATCAAATTTCTTTGAGAAAATTTTATTCAAAAAGGATAGCTTAGAAACCATGAATAATAATATTTTGAGAACTCATCTGATCAAGAAAATTCTCTTAAAACATTAATTAAATTATATTTAAAATATATTTATATTTTTCACATATTATATAGGCTAGCTCTGTAAAGCATCACTGTTAATGTCATTGAAAATAGTGTTTGGAACAAAAATCATTTTACTGTCTAAATAATAGCTAATGCTTAATCTACACAGGCTACATGACACCAAAAGGCTATACAACCTCTGAAAACTCTGCAATAACCTGAAGTATGTGTAGATGACCTGAATCTTAGGGTCCTTGTTCCATTACTGGGGTGATAGGTGTATTTTAAGGGACTTGTGATCTTCATGGTAAAAGTAAAATATTTATTTGTGAAAAAAATTTTGTAGATATATTTGGATTCTAAAAAGCTTTTATTAGCTTCTCAAAGAGATCTCTTGAAAATGGATAGATCTTAAAAAATAAGAAGACAAAATAATATAACTTTTTCTTTGATTTATAGTCTCCAACACATGAAAATTTGTTCCTGTTGTTAAAAGGATGAGCCGATGTAAAAGATGGGATTGTGCATTATCTGAATATCTAAATAGTGTAGCAAAAACGTAAGACTGAAAGTACTTGAGAATAATGTGAAGAGTTAATGTTGAATATTGCTTTTCCTTGATTTGTGGAATCTGAAAATTTGAACTTGTGTTTATTGTTTGAAATTATAAATGGTATCTGTTCAAATTGCTTATGGTTTTATATGAAAATTATTTCTGTTTACACATAAGAAGCTAAGAGTTTAGAGAACAACCCTAAATTCCATGTTCCAGTAGGAAGCAGTTTTTATAGTTAACAGCATTCACTATTTTGGTTGGTTGAAGCTGGCGATCTGCTAAGTTAATATATTCCAAAAGGTTTTTACCTCTTAGTCACAGAATGTTAAGTGGAAAACAAAGGTGGGCAAGAAGTGGATATTTAGTGGGCTAAAGATGGTCCACGATAAATGGTAAATAGACTCAAGACCTTCAGCATTTGAAACTCTCCACAACCACTGAAGTTCTGATCAGTTGATCAGACTTTGTAGAATGTTCAGTTTTAAGATAAAGTTTTTTCTGGGAACTTTTGTTAACAATTCCCAGGAGAGTAATTATTCATAGGAAAAATTGTACCATGGAACAGGAGTAATCATCTCAAAAAATTAACTTACATACTCAAGCAACAGAAACATGTGTAAAACCAGAATTGAGACAAGGATCGAAGAGATAATATTTTGACTC